GTTATAGTATACAACAAGCTTGCCAGGGGAGAAGGGACAAAGAAACTTAAGGAAAACCAATTCAATGAACAGGAAAGAGTTGCCAAATGAAAATTTACTGACAAATGAACATCTGTGAGGGATATACAACAATCCTTCCAAGCACACATATAGCATAATTCACCTTACAGAACAAATGTTTCATACAAACGTAAACAAATAGCTCCAAGTTACATTGACAAAGAGCAATAGAAGTTGTTAAACGATATCCCTTGCAAAACCACAACCTTTGGAGAGGATATTTGTTTCAGAAACCTTTCTATGATGATTCTGCAAGTAGCAAGCTTCAGTTACACGGAGCAAGTGCCCCTACCAATGTCTAACCTAAATATCCAAACTATGCGATTAAAGTATTGCCATGATTGTCCACAAAATGAAACAATTCAAAGGATAAACATAGCTGGAGTTCCATGACAAACTTTACACCTCAAGCAGCAATATCAAAGTGCATACAACTATATGACTGAAGTCCTCGACCAACTGTTCAAGCTACTGTATATGATGTGCGATCATATGGACTCTACGACTCTATGCACTATTGCTGCTGATAGCCAACTAATCCTTGTATAGTCGGTCGCATATCTCCACCCATTTAGATGTTCGAGCGGCCAGATTCAATCCTTTATAGCTGCTCGACATGCACTTAAAGCTCATTTCAGATATGGATGGTAATACGAGGTAAGCTATCGATCACATTTGGGACCTTTACCCTTCACGTATTTCCCAAACCAAAGTTTACTATCCTTGCCATTACAGACTTCTGCAGGAGCTTCAATACGGTACACAAACCGTCACCTAATTGAAAGAAGTGACAAAAAATCTGCTTTTGCAAGACTGGCCTGCCATAATTGACACCATCATGGAAGCATTAGAATGGAGAGGTCTTCTATAACTTCAACATCCCTCCAATGCACAAGGCTTAAGCTGGAAATGCCAATGGCAGATAAGATAACATTGTCAGATGTAACTAAGAAGGGACTAAAAGTAATATTAAGAATTTCACATTAGTAGTAAGATACACCAAGACATAAATTGGGCATGCAACTGTGAATCAGCCACACGGCCAGCATGCAATGCTTTCCATCATGAAAGCTCACTTCTTTCCTTAGCAGGTGAATACATCCACATTGTCCTTTCATAGTGCTCAACAATCAGAATATACCAAATAAAAAAAATGGAAAAACGGATTCATATGCCTCGAGAAATGTTGCTAATTGATTTTGGTATCTCCACCTTCTCATTGACCTCTCACCATATGGCAAACACCCAAGAGGAACAGCTTAATCAAACTAGTTAGCCGCCACCCCCCACCCCCTGTAATAGTAAAAAATTTACCAAGAACTTTTTGGAGCATGCTAGATATGGTTCTTGCATCTCTTCCCCCGGTAATCTTAAGAGCCTTCACGAAGAGGTAGAGTTTCACTACTCCCAACAACTTGACTCAATCAAACTGGTAAGTATTGTTCTTTACTGTCTAGAAAATATAAAGGCTACTAAGATGATAAAACATAATATAAAAGAAAAAGGTCTTAAATCAAAATGAGTACAGCAGCCCAGTCATAATTAACTTAAAACGGAAGTAAGTTGACGTGATCGGTGATTCCAATGAAACCCTTCCAGGATGCAGCTTCAGGTTGGGCTTGAAAGTTACAATTGTTTGTAAAAGAGAGTCCAAGAGAGAGCACATTCAGAATTCTTTTGGAAAAAAAGTAATCTAAAATTCCAGCTCTTTTTTAAGAAAAAAGTATTCTTTATACGTGAAAGATAATGGTTAAGCAGTTGTTCCTTAGGAACCTAACTCAGTTTACTCAAAGTTTCAAAATTGAACAGCCAGATTGCTTACCTTCGATAACAGTCTCTTTGCTGCAGAGAGTTTGCAAGAACCATGAGATGAGCTAAGAGTGTTCAACACTCTCACAGCAAATACACTTGAGAGGGGTCTAGGGAAGATAGTGTGTACGCAAACCTTACCCCTAAACCTTGTGAAGATAGAAAAGTTGACCCTCGGCTCAAGAAAAGCTTTCTCACAGCAAATACACTTGAGAAAAACTTTGACTATTTCATAGACTTGGGAAGGAAATGAGGAGAGAAATGCATCTCACTGAATTTAGAAGCAAAATTCAGATCCAAGTTACTACTAAAAAAAAAAATCCTATAATGAAAATTCTGCTTTACCACGATGAGAGAAAAAAAGGCACCTCCCACACAGACTAGCTTGAATAATTTAACCTTCGACCATGTATTTAGATGAAAGCAGCGAGAGGTAAATATACACAGAGATCTGTGGTTAGATCAGTTTCAGCATTCTGGTGTTACATTGGAACCTCTGACATTATTGAACGAACAACAAGACTTCAGCTTTTCCTCGTCATACTGAAGAAAAAACAAAAAGTACAAGGACAAAGTAGCAACAACAAATACCTCAAGTCCCAAGGAGTTAAGATAGTAAATAGTCAGGAAATGAAATGACAAACACTTCTAGCCACCAACAGCAGCCAGAAACTTCCTCTTGCTAACTGGCTCCTCTTGCACAATCACTACATCTTTCACCTTTGCTAGTAGCTGCTCAAGTTCAGCCACCCCAAAGCTCTCATAGTCTAGTTGCCTCTTGTACCTTTGTTGATATATTGCCTCAAAGCAACCAAGAAAAATCCGACAAGAGTAGCTCACAAGTATCTCTTGAAGCTCAAACTTGAAATTTTCAAGACTTTTTTCAACTGTTGCACCCATATCAGATTTCTCACGACTGCTTCCATGCTCTTCTATGAGTACTCTTTCATCATCCGAGAACTCATCCGAAGATCCAACCCCAGTCACAACTTCGGCATTTCCCTCTTGTGTTCCTTTTCCTTTATCCCTCTTTAATATAGTTATGGGAGGAGCACTTGGTACAGCACATGAATTATGGAGGTAGACAAACTTCTTTTGGCCTTTCCCCCCGATAGATATTGCATCACTCATCTTCTTGAAAAGATTCACGAGCTTAACTGCCCCATATTCTGAAACATACAGTGGCCTCCCGTAAATTCTCTGGTATTCTGCAGGAACACGTGTAAGAAGCAAGCAGCCCCCAGATAATTCAAGCAGCTTCACCAGCTGACCCTTCAAACCATTTACATCCCCAGGCTGCACCCACGTCAAGTCACTCTGGTCATGTGAAGATGGACCTCCAGCTGAAACTTCATTTAAACCAGGTGGAAGACTCTGAGTTCTCATACCCGTAGGATAACATGGCGTGGAAATTGAAGTGCTATTATACTCAGCCAGCGAATGTGATATTATTGAGAAATCCCTTGCATTATAGTAGCTCTGTGAGAGGCCCCTATACACTATTGCTTCATCTTCATTCTGACCATATGGGCTGTCATTTATCTGGCAGCAACCCATTAGAATCCCAGCAATGTCTGAGACACCACCACCACGACAAGGAATGAAGGCCTTTGCCGGGGGCACAAAACCTTCACCTCGAGCCACACTTGGCCAGTCCCATACAAACCTCCCAGCATTACATAGAGCAGACGAAACACCAACCCCTGCAGGAATGACAAGGATCATAGTATATCCACGTTGACCAAGAATGTGAAGTGCGGGAGCAAAATCAACATCTCCTGATATTAGCATAATGGACGAGGGTGGGGGATTGTCAAGAGCAAAAAGGAACATGTCAACCAAGATGGCCTTGTCGGCTGCATCTTTCCTGCCATTGGGGACATCTATAAGTTTAACACCAGTTCTCTGGCAGCCCTCTCTTAATCGCCTAGGAAAAGCATTAAAATCTCCAAAGGCAGAAAACATTGTAACTGCTCCTTTGATCACAGGATGTACCCGTAGAGCCATTCTGATGTTGCCAGCAACATCCTCAGGGCGTACATCACTTGGAACAGGACAGTTCTCGATGTCCCAAAGAATTGCCACCGGTCCCTGTGAAGAATTTGAGCTTTGCAGAGAGAGAGGTGTTAGTGCTTTCGTGTTTGTGTTTGCCATCTGCTTCCCACTTTGTTCCAAGGACTCTGACGACAATCCAAAAGATGACGTAGGAAGAAGTGCCATCAGTATATCATCCAAAGCTGTCTAGTCGCTGGCTACCTGTATATGGCCAATAAAATGCAACTAGCTAAATGAATGACAAGAAACAAAATCCATGGAAAGAGAAGTATTTCCAAAACACTTTCATTAATACTGATGCAGCCTCAAGAATAATAATTTCACAATCAGTCATCAAAATTTGCTCAGGAGGAAAACTAATAACATTTCCGGCAATCTAAAAGAGGAACAGCTTAACAATGGGCTATTTAGTTCTCATTAAAACTTCTACCGAGTTCTGTTAATTTTTCCAAAGCATACTTTGTACTGAATTATGGGACTTGGAACTCACATTAGAATCATTGATTGGAATGATGGATTTAAATACCCTTGGGCTCTAAGCCTGCAACAGCTAGTAGCTTTGGGTCCCAACTCCCAAATTCTCCAAAATATTTTTTCTAAGAAAGTAAGCTAAAAAAACACTTTTGAATTCTCAAATCATCAACACAAAGTAAAGGCCGGCCAGAAAACTGAAGAACATCCTAGAGTAAAAAAAAAGAAAAGAAAATGTTCCTGCAGCAGCAATCACTGATCTAATCAAAAGACCAAAAAAAGAAAAACAGAAATTCCAATAATGAACTCAATCAACCATACACCAATCCCCAATTAGTATTCAGGAGAATACCAACAACTCGAGACAATTAAATAAAGTAGTTTCGTAAGTTTAACTGGAAGTCTTGAATTCACTTATGGGTAAATTCAAGAAAAATAACGGCAGACATAAAGACGATCATCTTACATCAAGAAATCAAACGTGTCATTGTGTGCGTGTGTGTGCGCGCGCGCATGTAGAGAGAAATTGGAAATTGGCGGATCTTAACCGGGGATGGGATTTAAATACGGAAATCCACGTGAAATTAGCAAATAAAACAGAGGGGGAGAGTACCTGAAGAAGAAAGAATTGATGAGCTGCAAAATATAGATGCTGATTCTGAAGTACGAAACAAGAAAAAAAAAACTGTGATTTTGAGTTTAGAAATCTCTTCAGTACGCTGATAATTCTTCCCTTGCTTGTATGTACGCACTAGAAAAGGGGACATCGGAATTGGAATATGGGCCGTGGAAACACACCTAATGCTTTGCTCATCGATTTTATTACTAAACCGACATCCACCTATTAAAATCCATCCCAAAATAGCGCTTTAATATACATTAATATCATATAAAAATAATTATTTAATACTCCATAACAATAATAATATTTAAAAGATTTTAATAAATGATTTGAAGAATTAGTAGTTAATATAAGGGTAAAAGATAAATAAAAGATTATTTTTGTCTAAATAAAAATATATTTTTAATATAGTGGGCAAGTAAAAGGGAAGCTATGCCTGCGCATGTTAGTCAAATCTTGATAACGTGCGCTTCCGGATATGGCTAGACGGAATAAACAAAATCCGGCGACATCAACCCCCTCCATAGAACATGAAGAACCTAACACACTAATTACATCAGAAAATGGAATCCCTCATGACTTAGGTCCAAGCAATTCAGTCAATGGCTAACAGGAATGGGTAGTGCTCCAACGGTACTACAAGGAAGACCATCGGTTGAAATTACCACTCTTGAAGGACAAGACGAAGGCACCTTATCAGCTACAACTGCAAGGAAGCTTACCTTTTCTACAGTAGCGAGAGCAGAAAAACCTACGGCGGCGGAAGTTGTTCAAGGTAATAGATCTCAACAATTAGGGTTGAACTTGACTATTTTCCTCCGATAATGAAAGACGGGGTGAAGACTGTTCAATTGGTTCAAACAGAAGTTGAAGAACAATGCCAGAAATGGAAATCAGCATTAATCGGCTATGTAATTGGGGGAAATCCTTCCTTCAAGAAAATGTTGAAATATATGTATGGGGTCTGGAATTTTGTCATAACTCCTCAGGTATTCTTACATAACGATGGTTACTTTATATTTCGATTCATGTCTGAGGCAGATAAGGAAACCTTACTGCAAAATGGGCCATACACTTTTAACAATAGACCAATGATTCTCAAACAATGGGAGCTAGAATTTCAAATGAGCAAGGAACCTCTTCAAGTTATTCCAGTGTGGGTAACATTCCCTAATTTACCTATTGAGTACTGGGCACCAAGAAGCCTAGGCAGAATTGCTAGTTGCTTGGGGAAACCAATCTGCACAGATAAACTTACAGCTAAAGGAGAAAGAGTTTCCTATGCATGCATACTAATTGAGATGAATGTCTCACTTGCACTTCCAGAAGAGATACCAATTGAATTGCCGGGAGGCAAATGCAGATTACATCCTATTGAATACGAATGAATACCTTTATATTGTCAAAGTTGCTTGACTATACGGCATCATAATGGTGACTGCAAGAACGCAACACTAATTGATAAAGGTAAGCAGCAAATGAACAAAAGGAAGCTGGAGAGTGAAAGTAATTCAAGAACCTAGTAAACCAGTCACAGCTGATAAGCAACAAGTTGCACCAATTGTAGCAAAAGAGGTAGGAGTACCAACAGCTACACAAAATGCAACAGATCAGCCGGAGGATATGGAATTTCAAGTGCAAAAAGCTAAGAGCTGGGGAAAGAAAAAGTTGGCTACTATCCAAGAGGAGGGACATAGTCAGATTTATGAGGACAGTGAAAAGATTGAGAGGTTATTGAGGTAGAACCAGTTTAGTGCCCTGAGAATTCAACCAGTGATAGTCACTCCGAAAGTGACAAAGGACCATAGCCCTCCAAGGAAGTTACCTCCATGATCTTCTGTTCATGGAATATAAGGGGGCTTAATAAGCCCTTTAAGTAGAAAGAACTCAAGACTTTTCTGCTTACAAATAAGGTAGTTCTAATAGGTTGTCTTGAGACTAAAGTTAAAGCCCCAAAGCTGAGAAAGTTAAGAAGGGAATGGGGAATGACTGGGAAGTAGCTACTGATTACACTCAAAGCCCATATTCCATATGGATTTGTTGGAAACCTCAACAAGTGGAAGTGCAAACATTAATATCTAGGCCACAGTTTGTTCATTTTTTAGTGAAGGATAAGAGGTCTCCATTTGCTAGTCAGATAACTTTTGTTTATGGATTGAATACCATAAATGAAAGGAAGGTTCTATGGAAAAGATTGAGAACACTGAATAATAGCACAACTGATCCATGGATTGTGTTAGGGGATTTCAATGTTGTACTCTCTGTGAATGACAGGCAGAATGGTGTTCCAGTACATCCCACTGAAATTAAGGACTTTCAGGAATGTATTGAAGAATTAGGACTTCGGCAACTTAAAAGAACATGAAGCTTATTCTCATGGAGTAACAAAAGGGATGCGCACATCTGAACACATAGCTTCATTGATTGGGCTTTTGGGAATGCAAAATGGTTTGATAGCTATGGTCATCTGGAAATAGTATACCACAATCCAGGGTGCTCAGATCATTCTCCAATTATTGTTAGTACTGGGAGAATCGGGCAATCACTTCTAAGGCCATTCAGATTACTCAACGTGCTGCTCCAAAATCAGGCTTTCAAGGAAGTGACCTAAACTATATGGTAGTATGAAATCCCTGGATATACTATGTATGGAATATGTAAAAAGCTCAAGTTGATTGAGCTTAACGCAAAACATCTTCATAAAGAAGTCTCCAGCTTAGAAAAAAGAGTCGGGGCCATTCGAGGAAAGCTACAAGACACTCAGCAAATATTGAACTCAGATCTGTACAACTCCAACTTGATACAAGAGGAGAGAGGTCTCATACTTGAGTTAGAGAAATGGTCTAACATTCATGAGGAGGTGTGATCACGCCCAACTATGCCTTATAAAAAGGACAATGCGGTCGTTGCAAATATAATCCGGTTTACAAGTCCGGAGTCGAATCCCACAGAGAACTAAGGCTTAGCTACAGTTGTTCACTATCACCAAGAAGACAAGCTTGAACAGTTCCTAACTTATAGATATTTAGATTCTTGTGTTAACTAATTGATTAACATTAAAATAATAAATTAACAACTAAAGATACTAAGAGTTAGAGACAAGATTAAGGAGGTCTAGAGTTATGATTTCCCCAATTGTCGGAATCCTTCCCGCTATGTCTTCTATAATTTCGCCTAAGTATTCTCTACCGATCATGAGCACTCTTATTACCGTAAATCTCTCCCGAGTAATCACGACAATTTACTAGACGCACTCTCCCGAGCTACGCTAGCTGGCTTTTGATACAGCTCACTTCAGATCGCACCCAAGGCTTCGTTATCCCTAATCCCGCCTTTAAACCCTCGGTTATTGATCCCTCATATACTCTGGGAGTGGTGTTGTTCAACAATTACCTAAATATGCACTCTCTCCCGAGTTATGCACACTAAATAGGCACAGCTAATTGAGAGCTCTTCAATTAACTACAATAAGAACGTAGTTGAACAAATAGAGATTATACTACAGCTCAATTATATAAAAACATAACAAGAATTTATCCTACAAAAGGTTCTATCAAAACTCTAGATAACAAATTAGCTATTCATAATAGTATGTAAAACTACAATACTAAAAGTCATAACCAACAATAAAAAATAGGGAGAGAAAAGAAAAAACTTGTAGAAGAATTCCCAAGCCTTGCTCCTATTGTGTCTTTGCCTCCTTAGGTAAAAAATATGTCCTCTCCTCTTCTTGGTCGGCTTCCTTGGTTTAATATAGGGTTTAGAGCTTAAAATCCCGTGTTTTGCACCTTGGTCCCTGAAATTTACGCATCCTAACACCCTCTCAGATTCTTCAGTTGTCCGCGACTGCCCTCTGCCGCGGTTCTGCCGCGGTCGCGGTTTTTGACCCTGTTCCGTTTGGAATTTGGAAAAACGTAAAACATGAAAGTTGTAGCCCTTTGAGTTAGCTTTCTAACCATATATTGTGGAGCTCAAATGGAGTTCTGAGTAAAAAGTTATGTCTATTTTACTAGACAGTGCGCAATATGCCTCTTCGAATTTTCGTTTTGTTGTTTTATCATCCGTTGATCCCGAACGCGATCCCGACTTAATTCCTTGAGCTCTTAATCAGACTTCAAAGCTCCAAACCACTTAAATTCATTCCATAATATCTATATAGCTCGAAATCACACCTACAAGGCATAAAATACACAATTAGTGCAAAACACTAGCGATTAAAGCGCAAACTCAACTAAAGTGCAGTAAATTAGAGTGTAATAATCGACTAAAATACGTAATTATAGCCTATCATCAAGGTGCTGGGGCAGAAGTCTAGGACTGTATGGTTAGCAAAAGGGGATTCAAATACAAGATATTTCCATGCACAAATGAAGACCAGACAAGCAAGGAATCACATATCCTCAATTTGTAATGATCAGGGGATAATGTTGACTGATCCTGGCCAAGTCCAGCAAGATTTCATCAAATTCTTCCAAGATATATTGGGTACTAAGGCCACAGAACTGCCCTGTCTAAATAATAACATTGCAAAGGATGGATATTGCCTCAATAAGGAGGACCAACAAGGTCTGATTAAACCAGTAATGAAAGAGGAAATAGTGCATGCTCTGAATGACTTACCAGCTGACAAAGCCCCGGGGGGAGATGGTTTCCCTATTGAATTCTTCAAAGCTAATTGGGACACAGTTGGAGAAGATGTTAGTACAACAATTCTCCAATTCTTTGAGACGGGAAAAATCCTCAAGGAGATAAACTGTACAACCATTACTTTAGTGCCAATCCAAACCCTACATATGTCAAGGAGTTCAGGTTTATTGCATGTGGTACAACTTTGTATAAGTTGATAGCCAAGGTGATCACTTCCAGACTTAAACTAGTAGTGGACAAAATTGTGGGGCTATCACAATAAGCTTTTATTGAAGGAAGGAACATCTTGGATAATATCATTGTGGCCCATGAACTAGTCAAAAGATATAACAGAAAAGGAATGTCCCCCAGATGTCTAGTGAAAATAGACATTAGGAAAGCATATGATACTGTTGAGTGGGATTTTCTGAGAATAGTTTTGTTGGAGTTTGGAATGCTAGTGAAGTTTGTAAATATCATCATGGAGTGTGTATCGACTGTGAGTTACTCTATCATTTTCAATGGAGGGCTCACCCCAAAATTCCAAGCAAGAAAAGGGCTACGACAAGGAGATCCTATGTCACAATTTCTAT